TAGTAAATGGTGACACATTGAGTTAACTCACTGTTCATTGTGTAGAGTGAACAATAATAAGTGTAAATAAGAACGAGAAATTGACTTTAAATTCACTGTCAAGCAGCAGAAGTCATCGGTAGCCATGTTTGATTTAAGACCACACGTTCTCCACACCGAATTGCCCTACTAGCCCAATGATTAAAGCGCTGGTTCCTGAATTTTATGACAAAGTAATTGTATTTTAAATGTCTGGACCGGGTAGTTTGTACTTGAACTTGATTGAAAATGGGAAAGAAATAACTGAGCAGTAATAAAATAAGAACTAGACGAGATATCCTATACATCTCGGACTGAAACGGAAAAAAATGTCTATCCCCGTAGAATAAATAAAGGGTTCAGTTCGAAATCCCTGTAAGTTAGCCGTATCGACATATACCTGATGAAGACCGAAGACCAAAACGATCGAATCAATTTGTCAATAACAACAAATATTTTGGCAATAGTCCACCTGCAAATAATGACGTCTACTACTCACAGAAATTAAGACAGAATATGTTAATTTTAAAAATTAATAAAAACTATTATTATTAATCATATTAATGGTAATATAATAGAAAATCTATAAGAAAACATGGCATTATTCTTCTGTGAATTGACGAAACTCCACTGATACTTAAAAAGTAAAAAAGAGCGTCTGTGAACGTCATTATTAATGGTCAGTCCTCTGATGGTCGTGAAATCAATGCAGTGGTTTCCCAAGGCCCTCTTTTTTTATCTATTTTCTCAAATATCTTTTCTCTCTCTCTCTCTCTGTTTGTATTAACGATTTGCATTATAAAACTTTCAGATCATTAATAAACATATATGTTGATAATAGAAGGGTTTATGGTTGTACCTTCACAAATTTATATGGCTAGAACCTAGAAACTGGTCTATACTCTGATTTAGCTTTAGATCCCATTTCAATTAATTAATCCTAGGAATAAGAATAAGGAATACACGAATGCATCTTTTGAAATAAAGCAGATTGAAGATTTCACTGTTTTCGTAGAGAAGGCCAGAAAAAAAAAGATAACAGGAATCTGCCAGGTCTTTTCCCTTTTCAAGACAACGTTGAATCGCTTATTCAAAAGTGTTTCCTTCTTTAGAATTTAGAAAAAGGGACAAAAGATCGACGTCTAAAAATAATTTATCTATAAATCTGTTTATTATAGGTGTTCTACCTGGAAAAAAAAAATCACATATATTTATATATCATATAGGCAAAATTTGAATCAGACTATCTATGTATTTCATATATACATATTCATTATCTTATATATATATTTATATATGTGTCTGTTATGTCTGTGTCTGTTTATTATCTGTGTGAAAATATCTAGGGAAGGAATTTAATCCAAAAGTCTTAGTATTTCAATCAATTTTATATATCGAAAAATATATATATATATATATATATATATATATCGCGATATATATATCACGTTTATGTTTCAAAACAAAGCCCAAAACTTAAATATAACTATTTTTTAAATTGATCTATCTATCCATCTTACGAATTTTTTGGGAATATTTATATAACATTTATCGAGCTAGAATCATATTTTTAAATGTATATATATATATATATATATATATATATATATATATATATATATATATATATATTCACTATCTATCTATCTATTTAATCTAACCATCAACTTTACACTGCACATGACACAAGTGGATGTAGATGCGGTAGAAAGATTTTGTTCTGCTATATTCTAATAGCATAACGTATATTTGTAGCGAAAGACGAATCGGCGAGTTGAGTTCAAATTCTAGCCGCGTCAAAATGTATTCCTCAAAATGTATTCCCATTAATTCTCTTGAGAAAGATATGTTGATTAAATAGCAAAGTGGACACGGCTCTATAGCCTTTAGCGTTACACTGTCTAGAAGGACAACTCTGAATTCACACCCGTTGAGAAGCCAATGGTAAACTACCCCCATTATCTTTCTCAAGTAATCATGGCAATTCAGATTATACAAATAACAGGAATCCGTATCATGATTACACACATATTGAAAGGACATGGAAATTTTTTTAATTTCTTAGAAAGTTGTCCTTAACGATCCTAGACGTTTTCTCTGGGAACGAAAGATAACAACAGATGGCAATGAAAAGCCCCGTGGCAAAATATGCTGATGATGCTTTGAGCACTTCATCGTGATGCGATGATAGCAAGCTTGCCGCACTCGATTAGTTACGACTTAATACTGAGTTTGATCCTCACTGGGTACCCCACACTTTTGACCTTGTTCCACATCTGATCTACGCTTAGAAAATCACCATACTTATGGCACGCAGTCAAAGCGGGCGAGCTTGTTAACCATCACGCCGTGGTTGCTATCATTTTCTATCATTACATAACTGTTCTTTTTTTCTATAAGCAAAATGTGACAAGCCAGAGATGAGTAAACTTTCTCTTGAAATATTTACTTCGAAAAGATATCATAATAAAAGAGTTTTATTTGTACTGCCAAAGATTTCTTGGAACAAACATACTCTCAAATTGTCAGTGTAACGTATTTTCACCTAGTTGTATTGAAATGCTACTAGACTGTAATTGGATAATTATTTCTTAAAATCCACGAATGAATGTAAGAGATTGTTTTGATAGAAATTTCTGAAAGGACTTTCCTGATGTCCTCAGCACTCATCCCTAAACAGGCATAATACTTTTTAATCATTCCTCGTATACTTAGGTTATAAAGTGACTGCTAACATTTCGGTCACAAATTAACAGGAAAATGTGCTTTGAAAATTTGACATATACAGGACATTGAAGCTTTTGTATAGAATGATTCGAATTTCTACTGTTTATCTACACTTTATGAGTTAGTTACACCCGAAATATATCACAGTTGTGGTTCAGGGTGACATTCAAGGCAAAATAGTGCAATAGATTTCCTGTAACTTTGGAACCGGAGATGTCTCAAAATTTAAAGAGACAATACAGCAGGTGGTTTGAATTCAAAGTTTTCTTTGTCCTAGGTTTCCAACCAAGGCTATAGAGCCCAGTCTGTTCTACTATTTATCCATAACAGAGGGGGTAGAGATAGGTTCATACCTTTCCCAATGGTACTAGCAGGTAAAAGAGAATGAAATGAATTCGAATTCGACTGCCCTATTCCTCAATCCGAGTCGCTGTCTATTATTCTAATATGCCTCTTAAGTGAATATTGCATTAATAATATTTTAGGAATAACAATGACTTTTCCAGATGCATATACTGTTATTCAGTCAATAACCGGTGGGGATGAACTGCATTCATATATTTTCCCAAGTGTATTTGCGGGAAGGAAACGAATTAATGTAACTGGATTTCGAACTTGGCTTACCTCTTTTTAATTCGTATCTCTTATCCATTACAGCAGACGCACGCTTCATATTGAAGGATTGATGGAGAGAGGGAAACAAGAGTCACCTACCATATAGGTCGGTGTAAATGGATGGCTTGGCGAAAGAGGTAAAATTTGCTCAGATCTACACGAGGCAAGCAAATATGCAGAAACATGTTTGCCCACACGGCACAATTCTCTCTTTCTCTCTCTTATTTTTTTTTTATTACAGCTGCTTAATACAAAGTGTAAAAAATGCAAACATGGAGACGAAGTAAAATTTGTTTCCGGCTTTTGTAATTCCAATTTCTCTAGTATGTTACGTACGAGTTATTTTGAATTGAATAAATTCAGTGGACGCCATTTCTTTACGACAGAAATTAGCATTAAAGTATTTTAAAATTCTGTTATTTTTTTCCTTTGATTCTTCAAGAAGACTATTTGAAATAGAACAAGAAACCACATTTTATTTTTCATTTACACTAGCAGACAAAATTATATAGATATCAGTTATCTGAATATTCCAAGCTGTACCGATTCGGAATCTTATTACAGGCTGTATGCAAATATGTCCATTGGTCCATCACTAGTAGCTACATCTTTTTTTTTTAAATTTCGTTTATTAATATTGTAGGAAGTTGGTTATGTTTTTATTTCTTTGATTCTCCCGCCTTTCCTTGACATATTATTCTTGCATAACAATTTGTGTCCTGTACATTTTTGGAATGGTAAAATTATTTTCTCTTTTTGGCATTCCACCGCAACAGAAGACAAATCAAGAGGGTCTTTTTCGTAATATATCATATGTTGCAAAGATAGACAATTTAAGGAAACTAAAGAATCTAGCAGACATTACAGAAAACCAAATAGTTAGTTACCGATATTAAGCAGCTCTCTGGTGACTTATGATTAGCCCTTATATTATTTCATTGTCTTCCTATAAATAAGGACCGCTTAGGAAAACCGAATACGGGAAACAACCTAATATAATCCGAAATATATTTCCGTATAAAAATAAACCACAAAGAGTTAATAAAACGTAAAAAATAAGAATCACGTGAAATAGTCGGCTTCCATACTTCTGTATTAAAAGTTACGGAGATTTCAAACCATAGTTTAGATATGGCGCAAGGACGAAAGTGCGGGGCACGTTGTGAGGTTCGAACTCACGATTCATTTGTAATTGTTTCAGCGAGACAAGCTTGCTAACCATTACACCAAAATGAAGTACCCCTCTATTAGATCTTGTTTCCAATGTCGTTTTTTTTTTCGCTGAACTGTGTAGGCATAGAAGAATGATTTGCTTTCTACGACACTTTCTCAGTTATTTGACGTAATATATTTAGGATTGCAGGTTATTTAAAGCCAGAAATTTCTGGATATTTAAATCTAGAAAATATTCTTATATATTAAGAATTCGTTTTTTGTGGGGGATATAATAATGATTTAGTGATAATATTCTTAAGACACAGTTAGGCGAAATGAGGTGAATTCATATTTTTTCCAAAGTTATTTGCGCATAAATGAATAGAACAAACTCAACTAAAATTGGAACTCGACTCTCCGATTAAGAATTCCCAACCATTATCTACTACACCACACGCACATCCAAGTTTAGAGCACCTGATATATATTCCCAAGCGCTCACCCATCTACGTACTAACCAGGCTCGACGTTTCTTAACTTTGGTGATCGTGCGAGAACCGGGGTTTTAACGGGATATGCCCGTAAGCCAGGTTAGCAGAAGTCAGGAATTTACTGGAGCAGTACAGAGAAGCGACTATTTTTCCAGCCTATTTATCGGTGGGTCGTATATACGAGATCGACTTCAGGTCTGGGTTGACTTTAAGTCGCAATAGGCGTTAGAGGTACGTGTCTTCCCTGAGGAAATATACGTTCATCGAGATTTGTCGAAGTTCTGGGCTCGGCTCCGATAATGGAATGACTCTAATAATAATAGTTTTATTTTTTTCTGAAAGTTCGGCAAGGTGAAGCGTAAAAGTAAAAGATCATTTATCATCACCTTAAGTTCGAGTTTGGGGTTCTCGTTCCACACAAATGAGTTAAACTTTCGGGTGTGATGTAGGGATAGATTTTTATCCATTTGACACGAAAGGTTCTTGTATCATTACAGAATTGTATTTTGGTTGTAGTCTAGAAAGATATGGGGATATGCGATATCGCGTCATTACTATAAGATTAAAAATCGACTAATTCTCTGACTGATCATTTATTAGGGTAATGTTGAGAAATATTGTAGCTTAAGCATTAAAGGCTTACGGCTAAATGCACGTTGAAACACCGGTTTCCGTAGTGAAACCAAAGCTAATCAACGTTAAAGCCTGGACAGTACTTAGATGAATGAAGTTTGAAAAATACAAGGTGCTGTAAGCTTCGGTGTGCGGGTGAAGTAATAGTATTTTTCATCGGAGAGCCGAGTTCCAATAAGAGTTGTGCTCGGTATATCTTCCCGGAATTTATAGACCCATTTTCTCTTAATATTACGCTAAAATATATTTGCACCTGTGTAGCGAAAGTTTCGTTGCAGAAGTGTTGCAGGAACGTCATCATTTTAGCGGGACAGGTGTGAAATTAGTAAATGAAATAACCACTGGCTTGTAGTTATTGTAAATATATATAATTAAGTATAATCAGAGATCTATATTTCTCATGTTGTCTGTCTGTGTGTCTGTCGTGGGCGTTGTTACCTCGCCCAGGCCGCATTTCTCACCCGATTTCGATGCGGTTTTCACCACAAGTTTGCAAATGATTGTCTTAAGGACATGACGGAGCCCGATTTTTCAGTTCGGACTCAGGTTCCGAAAAAATCGATAATCGAAAAAATCTGCTTACAGAGGGAATTATTGCATTTCAACCAAATTTGACACCCTCTTAGAGTCTACCATTAGAAGTGTTGTCCAGAAGTTTCATGACCACGGACCCCTAAACAGCGCCGAAAATCGATAAAACCCAAAAGCCGATACGCCCAGATTGCACCTGAACCGCATGTTGGTTTTTAGCGAAAACCGAACGGATTTATGAGGAGGCCATTGGGAGTCACCATGTGAAGTTTCAACTCTGAGCGCCCCCCCCAAATAGAGTGCAAATGGACAATCGGTCAACCCTTAAAAATGTTTTTCCGGTTGGGTATTTCCTAAATGCAGGTTAATTTAAGGTCACGCTATGCGCGGGAAGAAACAGGTTAGTGTGTGAAGTGCTGTATGAGTCGTACAATTTTTGAATCAAGCACGGGCAACGCCGGGCCATGCTTCTAGTCAGAGATAAAGCAGTTTCTTCAAGCGTATGTCACAAGTAGATTTGAACGAGGACCATCCATTTTCGAACCAGTGGACTGGCGCTATACAATCAAAAAAACTGTACCAAATAACACAAACCACATGACTTTCAATATCGGCGACAATAAAAAAATGTATATCACATGTAACTCAAAGAGAAACTGATATAATCACGATGTTACTGTTCCACTCAACTTCAAACCAAAATCACCCAGTTTACACTCCTCCCCTGTCTTTTGAACAGCCGTTTGCGTTTATCCCTTGTTTCCTGTTTTGGCTGGGTTTCCGGTTCCTTCTAAAGTCTTTTTATTCTCTTTCCCCCCTAGACGCCTTTGCATCTTAGTGGCTTTTTCACCTTGCTTGGGGCGAATTAAGTGATTAAAAAATCGTTGGGAAAGAAATCCCATTCAGTATTTAAATGAGCGATAACAGAAAAATCCAGAGCATCAGTTGGAGATACCAGTCAACGTTTAACACAATTTATGGAGAACGGAGATCAATCTCTCCTAAGCTCAAATAAAAACGATTACGTTTTGCTGGCCACTGCCACCGAGCAGACAGGGAAAACGCGTCGTCCTTACTCATATGGCATCCTTCTGGAATGTCTACGATTTATTACTGATTTTTACGGAGTAATTGTGGTTCCTTCTGGAAGTGTCTTCTCACGAAAATTGATTTTCGCAGACATCATATCTCGGGAACCAGAGTTGGAAATTAGGGATATGGAGACAGCAATCCAGGACTAAACAGTGTGGAAAAGGATTATCAATGGAGTTCCGATCAACCACATGCAGGTGGAATGATGATGAGGATAGTGGACTTAATAAATATATTTTCCCGAAAAAAAATACCTTTAACACCTTTGCGTGGTCAATGAATGCCGAACGTTTTCTTAAAAAGAAACGCCTAATGCGGAAGCAAGGATAACCATTTAGCCGGAGAGATGTTCTGATTAACTTACATTACATTGTTTTGCCAGTTGTGGCTTCTTTAGCTTTGAAAGACGACTTCGCTGAATAGTTGAATATTCTGTCGTAGCCCCCGACAAACAAATCAGATGGAAATACCTTTTGGCCCTTGACCCTTGACAACCACGAGATTCAATTATTCTAATTAGAAAGCTATTCCTGTCCGTAGCGCAATCAATGAAGCCTAGTTACTGTTTATTGAAAGAAAACGTAACGATGACTGAATATTGAAGTTAACTCTATCAATCTACAGTGTATTGTTATAAGAGTATTATAGAAATCATCCGCAAAGATTGATGATGAATGGCAACTGTAATGTTAAGGAAAATTGATTCTCTGTGTCGGGCCACAAACTTTTCCCGTCCCAGTCCATCTTTCAAATCTACAAATCAACCTTTCGATCTTGCATGGAATATTGCTGTCATATATGGTCTGTATCCCTCGGTGTTCGTCTTAGTGGTCTCGACAAAATCCAGAAACGGATATGCAATATGTTTGGCTCTGGTCTGGCATCTCGTCTACAGTCGGTCTCTTGCAGACGTGCTGTCGCCTCTCTCTGTTTCTCCTACAGATATTTTCACGGTAACTGCTCCGACGAGCTATTTTCACTATTTCCCAAACTGCATGAATTTAAACGTGCCACTAGGTCGGCATCTCAGTCCCACCCTTTCACTATCGAAACGGTTAAATGTAGACGTCTCTTCTACTTCAATAGCTTCATATTCATCTGTGGAACTCCCGTTCTCTTACTTGCTTCCCTGGAAGCTATAATCTCCAACTATTCAAACGCAACGTCAATCGACATCTCCAGATGCCTTGATCTATTCTCCGTCCTTCTCTTCATCCTTATTTCTTTCGTGCCTCTATAGTCTTGCTCCCACATTCTGTCACCCCTTTCTTTCTAGTAGCACTCTCGCTTTGCTTTGGGTGAAAAGTTTAAAAATATATCAGCCGGTTCCTTATAAGGAAATACCTTTCGGCCATTGACCGAGAAGATATTACTGCTTTTGGTTGAAATTTATAAAATTTTTTTCTTAAAAGAATTTTTCAGGAAAATAAGTTTCTCAAGTCCAGTAGCTATTATCGCTCTTTCCAGCAGTAATGGAGGGTTCCTTCTTAACCGTTTGTTCGAAGTTGTGTGCAACATCAACATCTTGGTTAAGGCATTGATTTCTCTTCGAGTTATATTTGAGATTCATTTCAGTTTTTGCTGTTGTTGGTAGGTTTCAAGTAATATGGTTTCAGATATTTGTTACAGTGCTTCGTTTGTGATTCTGTATGAACCGTATTTAGTAAAGGATTTAAAGTGTGGCTTTTGTGCTCAGGTATATGACGATTTCTATTTGTATTAACCAATACCGAAATAATCCAGAGACCAATCGGTGTTAATTGTCGAGAAAAGATTATAAATTCATTCTGCTGACGCCAAGGAAGTATTCACTTAATTATCTCCCTTTGGAAATCAAACGAATACATTAGTGCATTTATTAGTTTGCCTAGTGAAGAGTAGAATTGCATTTGCAACATAATGGTAATAACGTCTGGTAAGAATACGAAATTAAATCTTTTAAGGAGAATCACGTATTCTGTTTTCTCCTTTCTATTCCTACTAAGTCTAGATACCATAGCGAAGAGCTCAACCGAAAAATTTCTATAAATCAATTTATATAAAAAAAATACGCACAAAGTATCAATCTTACTGCGGTGGGTAAGTAACTGAAGACGAGCTACCAGATCGGGACCAGTAATATTGCTGATTCTTTGAATTTTGATATGAATCTCTAAATCTATAGTAATGAAGAGTTACAAATCAAATATAAACATATAAAAAATAAATATAACGATTATCTAATCTAGCAAGGACGTATATTATTATGTTCAAAAACTCATGTGTATACACACATACACAATAACATGTACACACGTACATACATACATATAGGTGTGTACCCACATAGACACACACACACACACACACACACACACACATATATATATATATATATATATATATATACCCATGTACGCACATACACATATATCCATATATATATATATATATATATATTCTCATATACATACATACAGATACACATACATACACACATATACACATACATGTATACATATACATGGTAAGAATACGAAATTAAATCTTTTATATGGAAAATTATTCTTTATTCACTGCTGTAGACTTGTCAGGTTACATGTGATTCTCGGAAACTTTATACGAACGTTCGATCATCTTCTCGCGCAGACGTAAGGATTTTAAAGTTACTCTTTGCCGATCCGGCGTTTGTATAACTTCGTTTCATCAGCCGGTCATTTGGGCGTTACCCTAACTTCAATTTCGTTCATTTCTTCGTTTCTTTCGGCACATATATTGATATTCTTTCAGGCCTGATTTTCCATTTAGTAAAATTGAAATAAGCTTCTAGATCAGCATCTATATCTTTCGATGTCTTG